CTTAAAATTATTTTCATTTGCTGGTGATGATTCAAAGCTATCTCAAGAAGATTCAAAGCCACGTTCATGATGGGCAGCATTGAACATTTTTATGTATGTTAAAAAAGAAAGAATACTGACTTTTTAGCTTAAAAATCGTACAAACAATTTGATTCTTTAGTCATTGTTTTGACTATTTAGAAAAAAAAAAGTGGTAAAAAAATGAATAAAATATTGATTTATAAAAAAATTTTAAAAAATGTTGAAAGTTTTCTCCCCTACTTAAAAAAAAAAATTAAAATATTTAAAAAATAGAAATTTTCTTTTTTTTACGGATTAATCTACGCGGACTGAATTAAAGAAGAAAAGCCTAATATAAAAATCTTTTTTTGGCTTGTAATTAATTTAATATATCATTAAATTGAAAATATATAAGTATAATGCAAAAGTTTGATTTTATCATAAACAATTCGAAAATTTATCAAAAACATGTGTTTAACCATAAAGTTCCCCCTCTTTAAAAAGAAATATGGGCTCGTCCATAAATTACGTCACGCTGTATAGGAGGGGGGGGAGGGGTTGGTGGTTTTGTGACGACTCTTACAAAACTTGATTCTTAAGTATTACAATTTTGTGACGAGGGGGGGGGGGGAGGTCAAAATTGGTCAAAAATTGCGTGACGTAATTTATGGACGACCCCTATTGAAAATTTTTTAGATATTTTTTTAATTAGAAACTACTAATCTAATTCGGTAAAAAATATTTAAAAAAATTGAAACTGAAAAAATCTTAAAGAAAGGTAAGTAAAATTTTTATTTATTTACATTTACTATTTTCGCTTAGTGACACATAGTGAGCCGGCCAAATATTTCTGTTGGATCTCTGACAAAATATTACTTTTTAAAATAAAAAAATTTAAAACTTTGTTAAAACGATTGAGAATATAATTTCGTATTTTTTTACTTGACTTAGGATCAACATTGTCCGAAATCCTATAGAACTTTTTAGCTAGCCTTTAAAGCTCTAAAACTGAAAAGACTAAAATTTCTTACGAAAATAAATTGTTCTAATGAGTAGTGAGAAATATTCGTGACAATGTATACACGTGTTTATTGCTGGGACTAGGGAACAGCCAAGGAGGTTTAATAAACAGGAGACGCCGTAGTATATACTTTAAAATAAAAAACGCGATAAAGCCAGTTTTGAAAGTCAGCCGCCATCTTGGTTAATCCAAAACGTTGTTATGTTTTGCGCGGAAATTTATATTTTTAAGAGAAAACTTTGCTGAAAAGAAGTCAAAATATAGATATAAATGATTAAATAATTTGCCAGTTGTTTCCGAGGTTGTAATAAACTACAAAGAGTTGTTTGTTAACTGATTATCGGGTTCAGTTTATTCCAAAATATTGGAATACTGAAGTAGACATTCAGATAATAAACACGCTTTTAGAAGATGTAAAGACATCTTTTAGACGTAGTTTACAAGGTGTGAACATCTTATGAAATTAAAAAAAATGTTTGTGACTTTTTTATTAAAGTTTAACACAATTAAATGTAAACATAAATAAAAACAAATATATTAAATATACATATTTATCTTTCAATCACTTATTTGTTATGTGTATATATACACATATATGCAAGGCCGGCACGATAGGGGGTGCGGGGGGGGGGTGTGACCCCCTCCCTCCATCAATGGTTTTTAGTGGGCAAATTAGACCCTTAGTCGGCAAATTGGAACCTTTCAGACTTGTTAGTCGGCAGATGTCGACCCTTTCGATATAGGTTAGTCGGTAATCTAGACAGTTGGCAAATGTCGTCATGGCAGTCGGCAAATTTTGAAAAACGAGAACCTTTTTTTTTTTTTTAAGTCGGCAAAAGTTGTAATGGCACCCCCTCCCCGACGTGACACCTACTCACGCCGACCCTGCATATATGTATTTATATATATATATATATATATATATATATATATATATATATATATATATATATATATATATATATATATATATATATATATATATATATATATATATATATATATATATATATATATATATGTATATATACATATATATATATATATATATATATATATATATATATATATATATATATATATATATATATATATATATATATATATATATATATATATATATATATATATATATATATATATATATATATATATATATATATATATATATAATTTGATATAATACTAATGAAACTAAACTATAATATTGAAAAAAGATCAAAACAGTTATATGGAGATGGGTAATACTAATCTAAGTCGTTTGTTGTCGTTAAATTTAATGTAAACCCGCAATTATAATTGTGAAACTAAATATTAAGAAACAAACAAATTTTGGCTTACGCATCCAAAATCAGTAAAATTAAACAAAAAACAATGGCGACCTATTGCAACTAAAGTTGTTTTATGTTAAAATTTTTTTTTACATTAAAATTTTAATAAAGTTACCAATACGACTCATTACTAGAAAGAAAATCATTTTTCACAGTTTTTTTTTACTGTATCTGATTGCCAACCTTGTTTTATTGCTAAAATAACTCATAAAAAATTTGTCGACCCTCCGCGATATATTTATTTTTAATTTATTTTGCGTTTTTAAAAATTTTGAACAAAGTTAAAAATATGGGTTGCGGGGGGTCTTCGTTTTTTTTTATGAGTTTTTTTAGCAACAATATAAGGTTGTTCATCAGATACAGTTAAAAAAACTGTGAAAAAATGGTTTTCTTTCAAGTAATAAGTCGTTTTGGTAACTTTATCAAAATTTTATTGTAAAAAATTTTTTAACATAAAATAACTTTAGTTGCAATAGGTCGTCATTGTTTTTTTGTTTAATTTTACTGATTTTGGAAACATAAGCTAAAATTTGTTTGTTTAATATTTAGTTTCATAATTATAACTGCGGGTTTACATTAAATTTAACGACAACAAACGACAAAAGTTTCCGCGGATTCATTTTCCGCGGATTAGTATTACCCTATGGAGATGCACATAGTTTAGCTGAAATTAATTTCTTCTATTATCTTTTTGACCTGTAAAAATTACTATCTTTTTGTGCAACTGTCGACTCACTATAAAATAACAAATCTATATGATCTTAGCTAAATTATAGTAAGAAAACATCAAGAGTTAGTAATAAGTTAAAACTAGTAAGAAACTAAGTATGCTATTACTATGGTGCTTCAAAAGTGTCTGGTATGGCACCATATTGAACTACTGAACACATAAGGATCTAGTTCCTTCCATATCAGCTTCTGTATTTAAAGCTGATTTAGTACTTCTTCTTCTTTTAACGCAACTGCTTATTTATGAGGACCAGTAAAGTTTTCTCTACATAGAGCAGTTATCAACTTTTGTTAATTCTTAATATTTGATTTTTGACGGAATTCTATAAAAATATTGACTAATAAAAAAATCACCATAGTAATACCTATTACTATGCTATTACTCTGGTGATTTCGTCATTTTATTAGTCAATATTTCATAGAATATATTTGAATGATATATATTATTTTGTGAAATTTCTTGCCTGGTGTAGCTTAACATTTCTACAGAAGTAATGCCATCAGCATAATCTCTTGCATCCATTGGCAAAACAAGTCTTGTCAAGTTATATATTTTTATCAACTTTATAGCCTACACTCAGTATAAATCATGTTAAGTTAAAAAAAAAAATTTAATAAATATGTATTTAGTTGCTAGTTGCTCAGTTCTTTTAGGAACGCTTTTTGTAGAATACATTTAAAATTACTCAAATATATATATATATATAAATATAAATATATATATATATATAAATATAAATATATATATATATATATATATATATATATATATATATATATATATATATATATATATATATATATATACATATATATATATATATATATATATATATATATATATATATATATATATATATATATATACACACATATAAAATATATATTTATATAAATATACATTGTATATTTATATAAATATATCTTGGGGAAGATGATATTGTCTTCTACTTGCTCCAGTCATATATTTCTCAGTAAAATGTTGTACAAATTTATATTAATAATGACGAATATATATAAACAATATATCTTAGACACATGTATATATAATTTTATGATATATGTATTATATACATATTATACATATAATATATATACACACACACACACACACACACACATATATATATATATATATATATATATATATATATATATATATATATATATATATATATATATATACACATACATATATAAACGCACACACTTGTAAATTTATATTTATTTTTAATTGTTTAAGTATAGAATAAAACTCACAAACATTTGGTCTTATTTTCTCAAGAACCTTTTATACTATTTAAAAACAATATCTTCTAGTATCGTGTCAAAATATAGCTATCTGAATGTCTATTTCAATATTCCAAATGTTATTAGAATGAACAGAAAAAGGCAATCAGTTAGCAAATAATTCTTAGTAAGATAGTATAAGCTGCCAAACATAAACTGACGAATAATTCAATCATTTGCTGCAATCATTTGTCTAGAATTTAATAAACTTTTTAGTAAGATCTTAAGTTCCGTGAAATGTTTTGGGTTAACCAAGGTGGCGGCCGTTTTAAAAACTGGCTTCAAAAAAGTCACGTGACACCGTCTCCTGTTAATTGAACCTCCTTGGGAACGACGTATATTAATAAATTTAAAAAAATATATATTCAATTCAAAATAAGGAAATCTTAACCATATCAAATTACGAACTTCCTTTTAGTAAAATTCCTTAAAAATTATATGGTCAAAATTGATTGGTTAAAAAACGAAATTAAATTTTAAGTTAATTTGAATACCTTTACTCTATTTTTTAAACTATATACTCCGTAAGTAAATTTATGCAATTCATTCCAACTCTCTACTCTGCGTGTATTTAAAGTGCATTAACATAATGTATTTTCCGACTAATCAAGAAACAGAAAAACAACAAGTACATTTTGTTTCAAATATTATTAACACACTAGAACTAACAGACAATAAAATATTTTCAACCACAGCATCAGGTAACCAGTAATTCTGGAGCCTGAGTTTCAATCAAATAAACAGAGTTCTTTACTTTTTCACTCCAGTTGCCAAGTAAATCACGTAATGTTCGTATCTAAATTAAAAAGCTGTGAAATAACAATATTTCCATCTAAACCTTTTTAAATTATTTTTATAACTTTTTCGTAAACATCCTTCTGATTATAAGAATAAAGATTTAAAGTCTTTAAAATGATTTTATACAGATTATACGGATATCACATAAAATATTTTAAACTTCGAGTTTCTCGTGTACCAAACCAAACGCAGCAAAGTAATAAAGTATTCTTCATTATAAAATATTTTAAATTAACATCTTCGCAATCCCTTTAAAGTTTGCACCTGTAACACACACAGATATCATATATATATATATATATATATATATATATATATATATATATATATATATATATATATATATATATATATATATATATATATATAGATATATATATATAGATATATATATATAGATATATATGATATCTGAAACATAGCCTCTAGAAAATAGAAACATAGCCTCTAGAAAAGGAAAACGTTGGAACTTTTTAACCAGAAAAAGACAGATGTACAAAACGTGCCCAATATACAGGGGCGCATAGAGGGTGGGGGATCCGGGTCGGTTTCACCCGGCATCACGTTTATAAGGCATCATCAGATGACAGAAAAAAAACTATTATATAAATATTTTCATTTAGACAATAAAAAAAAGAAAAAACGATTTATTTGCTATTCTTCTAATATAAAAAAATCATTTAGAACTTTGTCGACAAAACCAAACGACAAACCAAACGATAAACGAACCTTGTCGACAAAACCAAACGACAAACGAACCTTGTCAAACCAACGCGACAATTTGTGGCTGAAGGTGAGAGATTTTTTAGCAAGTTAGTTCTCGTCAGAAACTCTCTAAGAGCTACCATGGGACAGGATCGTCTTAACGGCTGTCAGATCCTTTTCAATCAAAACAGATCTTGAGAAGAAAGTTAATTACGATGTTGTAACTTTCAACTTTGCTTCTAGAAAAGCTCGTAAAATTTTGGTAACATTAGAAAAACCTGATACTAAATCCAGAAGTGTTTTTTTTTTTTTGTTGTGTTTAATTGTTTGATTCGTGAACCGTCTTAAATACAGAGTTTAAAAAATATTTTGTGAATACTAGAAATAATAGCTTTTTTTTATTATTATTTTTATTTTGGTGGTGGAAGTAGGTGTGGGGGGTATCCAGTAGATTTTTTTTATAATATACCCCGAGCATCATAAAGTCTCTGTGCGCCCCTGCCAATATAAAACTGGAAACTTATATACAAAATTATGTTGCAAAATGTTTTATTTTTTTATTCATTTATTTATTTATTGAATTCCCTCTCTTATAATCAGAAACACAACTTTATTACCTATTAATCTTACAATCAAAAACACATAATTCTCTACTATAGCAAGCATAAAAAAATTTTAATCATTTTTTGACAATCATTAAGAATCGGCGTTTGTCGCAAAGAAAAATGAAACTGACAAAAAAAAAGCAGACCTAAAACAGAAACATTGTTAATTGAGTTAAAAATAGTAAGCATTGATTTTTTTAAACAAGATTCAACACGAATCTCTATACAACAGACATTTATATATTTTGTTTTGAAAACAATAACTTGAATATTAAAATATGTAACTTTCTAGTTTCCTAGAGGTCTAGAAAACCCTGTGCACTCACAAGAGACTCAAGGTCAAGAACAACTTAAGTGCCTAAATCCAAACCTTGAATCATAATGCCAAAATTTACCTGGTTTGTATCTAAAACTCTAGGCTGAACCCAAGTCACATGTACAACTTCGTCTACTTGATCAATAAAACCTAAAAGAAACCAAACTATCATTACGTAAACCTAAAAGAAACCAAACTATCATTACATAAACATAAAAGAAACCAAACTATCATTACATAAACATAAAGACTTCTAACATAATCTTATATAAACATAAAGAACAATCTTATATAAACATAACACTAACTTTATAAATTTTATAAAGTTTCATACTTAAAAGTTTAAACTTTATAACATATTAACTTGCATATATATTTGAGATGGTTCTAACAATAAAGCTTTATTAAATAGGTGTTCTCTAACATGTATTTTATACAAATTAACACTAAACTAAATTATAAAAATTGCCCTATAGAAGATGGCAAAAAAACCTTCAACTAAACAGTTCCCATAAAACTTAAACAGATTGCTTCATAAACAAGAGTTACAGAGTCAAATCTCTTGGTTATATCAGGCTTAGCCTTTTTCTTTGTGTAATATCCTAATTTGTAATTTAAAAAAAAAAAGCTGTTGTTCCTCAAAAACCTGGTTTTTGGACCAAGACAACAATATTTCAAAAATTGTATACTTTCGAAAAAAGTTCTCAATTCATATTGAATACTGACATTCTTCTTGCTCAAGTTTGTCAAAAATTGCTTCAAAAATTAAAAATTGTCAAAAATTGCTTCAAGCAGATTTTGCTATGCGTGCAGACAACTAATAAGAAAAAGTATTTTGTGAAGCCAAGTCACAAAATGTGTGATACTACATTTTTGAAGAAGACGTATTTTGAAATACTTGCCAGTAATCAGGACTTGTTATGGGAACCATATTTCACGTGCAAATATTGAAAGAGAACTCTTGAAGGTAAGTTGAATAATTGCTTTTCACTTAGCGTTATTTTGTAAAACTTCAATAATTTAGATATATCTAGTTCATTTTAAGAAGTTGCAACCAAGGTCTTACCAAGTTAAATGAGCTTCTGGTATCCAGGCTCAGTGAAATTTATTAGAATAAAACATACAAGTCAAGGATCGAAGAAGCATCACCAAACATTTTTTAACTTCTTTAGTCAGAAAGATGGACTGTGCTTCTGCAAGGATGTGCCTAGTCTTTTAAGACTAATTTTATCATTTTGATACTGCTTTTAAAAATAAACTCTGAAGCTTTTTGTGCAACTTTTTACAGTTTTTATCAATTCAACTTTCTAATTGCTGTTTCTTACCAGACTAAATGAATGAAAATATGAATTTTTTATCATTCCATCTCAATAAAAAAAATCTTCTATATGAAAAATTATTTGGAACATTTTAAACATAAAGCAAAAAAAAAATTATCATCTCCATGATAACGCTCAATGCTTGAAAGATAGCAAACAAACCCCAAAACTTTTATAATAAAAATAAAAATTTTCGTGCATTTATCGCTTTAACTATAAAAGCTTACCTCTAGATAAGAAACACAAAGAAAAATTAAAAAAAAACAATCATCAAAAAATTAATGCAAATAATAAACTGAACGAAAATAAAGGGAATTGTAAATAAAATTTCAAACAATATGATACAATCAGTGTAATGCAATATCTATATTTAAGATCAGTATTTAATAAAATCAAGGTAATTTTTCTTTACATCTGTAAATTTTCATATTATTAAAAAAAAAACAAACAAAAAAACACCTTTGATCAGTCCAAATGATAAAGCTTTCATGACAAGCAGTTCAACCTGCGTATTAAAATTTTTTTTTAAAAACAAAAAAATTTAATCTAAAAGTCCTAACTTAATTCTTAACTTAAAGAAAAATACCTCTCCTTTTGGAAGATGTGATTCTTGTGAAATAAGATCAAAAGTAAAGCTTCTATCATTTGATTTTCTCTTAAATGTCAACTAAAAAAATTAAAAATAATTATAAATACAACTAAAATAATTATAAATACAACTGTAACGATAACTCTAAAAAAACAAATATAAGTGTAATAATAATTCTAAAAAAATTCCTTTTTACCTCCATTAAACTTAGTAAGGTGATCTTTTGTAACAAAGCATTTTCATTGACAGCAAGATCAGGCTGCAAATAAAAAGTAAACTTGAAAAAAACAAACTTGAGTGTTTAATAATTGTTAGACGTGTTTAATAATTCTATTGCGCGTTTAACATTTAAAATTCATAGGGTTTTAATATTTAAAACACAGAGTGTTTAATACTTATTAGACTTAATCGTATCTGTAACATGGAGCATTTAATGTGCAGCATATATAAATCTTAAGATTATACATCTTGAACATATAAAAACAACCTGTTTGCTCCACAATGGTTTTAAATCAATAAACTTTTGAATGTCTCCTAAAATAGAACAAAAAAACCTTTTTTTTAATATATGTTTCAAATTTGATATATATATATATATATATATATATATATATATTTAATGTCAATTAAATATATATATATATATATATATATATATATATATATATATATATATATATATATATATATATATATATATATATATATATTTAAGTCATTAAAAATTTATAAAGCAATACTAAATATTAAATGAACCTAAAAACAAAATATTTTTTTTATTTTCTTGTATATAACATAAATGAGGCTAATTCTGTTTTCTCCATGAATTGAACACTTACAATTTTTTTTTCATTTGTTACAATTAAATAAACCAAATTATAGATTTTTTAACTATAGTAGAAGAAGTAGAAGAAATAAAGTAGATTTAATAATTGTTTCACTTCCATTTTTGTTAAAATAAAACAAAAAATAAAGATGAGGCATATAAGATAAGCAATCTATCAATTTAAAAGAAAAAAAATTTATTCAACTTTTTAAACTTTTTCTGGTCTGGTTTAATAGTGTTCTCTTTAAAACTAGAGTTTATGAAAGAAACTTTTTCGACTACCGTGCAAGACTATATATATAAATATATATATATATATAAAAATATATATATATATAAATATATATATATATATATATATATATATATATATATATACATATATATATATATATATATATATATATATATATATATATATATATATATATATATATATATATATATATATATATATATATATCATAGATCATCTAGGTCATATTTTAAAAATCCGGAAAACCAGTAGGGTAAAATATTCAGAAAATATCCGGAATATATTTTTCCTAATATTCCTCTTAATTTTGATTTTAGCTGAGCTATATTTATTTTTTTTTTAACTTTTCTTAATTTTTTTTTTGTATGAGTAATGAGTGTAATATATTCCTAAACTTGTATGTATAGAAAACAGAAAATCCCTGATATATATATATATATATATATATATATATATATATATATATATATATATATATATATATATATATACATATATATATATATCAGGCTTTCACAGGCACGTCTTTATATGACTACACAAATTACATTTTGCTATGACGATTTGACCGTGGCTGATTCAAAAAACATTTTAAAAACTCGATAAATGAAAAATATTCTGAAAAAGTTAAATTAATTACATCAAAACTTCTTAATAAATGTAAATATTAGCGAAATGCTTTTAAATAAAGTAACAATTTACTAATAATAGTTTTTTTTTTTAAATATAATTGACTGTTGTTTATTTTTTTTTTTTATTTATAATATATAAATTGTTTAAGTGTGCATTTCTATAATAAACATTACTAAAAAATTAACAATTGTTTTGTTTTTATAATTGATGACATTCTATGACTACGAAAGTTTCTTTAACAAATTTATAATAAGAATAATTAAAGTTAATACATTTAAAAAGATAAACAAAATTTTATTGAAAAAAAAAAAGTTTTAGAAAGCTCAAAATGCTTTTTAATGAAGTAACTAAATACTTTTAATTAATTTTTAAAATAAGTATTAATAAACTGTTGTTTTTTTTATTTATATAACTATATATTTTTTATAAGAAATGTTTATCTTTTGAAACGCTAAATAAAATAAAAAAAAGTGCAAATGTGAAAACAAAGATTGAAATGGTTTTTTAATGCGTAAATTAAATAGACTAAACATTTTAGTTTGTTTTAGTTGGGTTTTATATATATATATATTTATTTTTTTTTTGTTTTTGCTTTAATGAAGTATTTTTTTTCTTTTCTTATTTGTTAAGATTTTTTTTCTTTTTACAATTTTTTTTTTTTAGATAAGTTTAGGTAAGTTTTTGTAATGCATTTTTAAATTATGAAAATATGTCAAAAGCCATGGTCAAATTGTTAAAACATATTATTTTATGTGTGGTCATATGAAGATGTGTGATCGCAAGCCTTCCTGCGAACGCTTGAAATAATTATTTAGAGGTTGTCGATTAACACTGATCGGCTGAAATGATAAAATTTGAATTGTAGACGATCAAACAATTTTTCAGACAATAAAATTTTTTGTTAGTTTGCATCAAATTTTTTAATTTAAGTAATTTTTGTGTCACACTTTTTATGTTTGCGCTTATAGTACTGGTTATTCTGCAGAATTTCCCTTTTGTTTAAAATTCCGAAACATTAAAAAAAAAAAACCTTATACTGGGGCTTGTTTTAAAGTGTCACGTTGTAAATACAAACAAGCCTTTTAAACAACTTTTTAAGTTTTTCATTATAAATGCACTTTAGTAAGCCCTTTAAAAAAAAAAATTTTATACTTAAGCTGGACAGTTGTTTGGCCTAATTATATAAAAATTTATGATAAGATGTTCGGCCTATCCTAACTTATCATAAAAATCAAGTTAACTTTTGATTCATCATTCGATTATGCAAAGTCATTTATTCAAAACGTTAAAATAACTTTATTTTCTTAACACCTTTAGATATTTTTTAGCGCATTATTTGATTGTCATTAACTTTAAGATTTTTGTTATGAATATATCTTACATTTATGATTATTTTTTTTATATTTATACTACAAAATATTTTCGTTATATTTATAATATAAATATTATTATTATATTTATAATATAAAATATATTTTTTACATTCATTCAGTTAAAACTATAGTTTAAACTAAATGACTGTTTGCAACATTATAAACAATTATTTAGTAAAAGCATTTAAAATTGACAAAAACACGCAAACTAGATCAAAGTTGACCAGAGTTTAAGAGCAAAAATGTTTCTTTCTCTCACATTCTATGCAATAAAAAAGCTATTCAAATATGGAATAGCTATTTCATTGCGTAGAATAGTTTGTTTTTTTAAAAAAAAAAAAAACAATAGAAGAAATATTTGGAACTTTTAAAAAATCATTTTTTGAAAAAATTTTAAAAATGTTGATTGAAACTTTAGCGCAAGAATATTTATTTAAAAACAAATAAAATACTGTTTATAATTGTAACTTTCATTCGTAAACTTTTACTTTTAAACTTTTTCTTAGCGAGTATTTCAAATCCTGATTTCCTTTTAAAGGAAGTCAGGATATAAAAATATAAAAATATGCCTTGGTCACACATATATCAGGCTTAGACAGGAATAGCGTGCGATTGAACGCTGTTGCTGACCTTGCAAATGATTTTATTTGTTGATAACTTGACCACGACTGTTTAAATGTTTTGATTATTTAAACATTTTAGAAATGCGCTGAAAAAAGAAAAGCTAAGCTTAACTTAAACTAGAAAAAAATTTTAAAAACTAAAGAAAAAAGAAAACATTTCTTCACAAAAAAGAAAATATATAAGCTTTAAAATTAAATTCAAAAAACTAAAACTCAAAGCGAAAATTACTTTTTGTTATGCTTTTAATTGCATTTGAAACAAATTACTTTAAAACGACTTTTGAAACGTTTCATTAAGTTACGCAAAATGTATTTACAAATTACTTCTAATGATTCTTTAATGAATGAACAAATTTTATTTTAATTATTGAAAAGTGAAATTAATTTATTGAAAAAGAAAAAATTATAATATTTTTAAATTGTATAAACATTTTTTTTAAAAAGTTGCAAAAAATATATAATTTAAAAAATAATGTAGTCTTTTTAAAATAGCAATTTTTAATCGATTTATTCTCTAATTAGTCAAATTAAAAAAAAAAAACTTTTCTTTATCAAAATAGAAACAAAAAAATAAAGCAATTAAAATCATTTCATTGGAAAGATTTAAGTAAAAAAATAATTTTTTAAATGATCTTTAGAAAGACATGGAAATATAGTTTTAAACATTTAAATTTTTTATAAAAAATACATGCCTATTAAAAAAAATTTAAATAAATGAATTCATTTACATAAAATGAATTTATTTTAAATGTTTATTATAATCAATTTTTTATTTTATTTAAAACTTTTGCATAAAATAAAACTTAAAAAAGATCATTAATTAAAGGTTATTCATGAGGTAACCATTTTTTTGTTGCATTTAAATTAAAACATCAAAACAGCTGTGGTCAAATTGTAAAGAAAAAAAAAATTAAGTGTGGTCATTTACAGCGTGCTGTATATATATATATATATATATATACAGCATATATATATATATATATACAGCATATATATATATATATATATATATATATATATATATATATATATATATATATATATTATAATAATAATAATAATAATAATAACAATAATAATAATAATAATAATAATAATAAACAACTTACCGCTGTTAAAAGCAAACAAAACATCAATCAACCATGCAAAATCTGTCTTTTTTAGATGCTGAAGTACTTCATGTGCTAACTAAATATTTTGTATCTTTTTTTTTATGAGTTTTAAAAAACAAAAATTAATTTTATAACAACAAATATTTAAGTAATTAAATTTTTCAATAAATATTTAAACTTGTTACTAATTCTCCAAAATTGTAAACTTCATTTCCAAGCAATGCAGCTAACGAAAGATTAAAAGCACGTTGTTGCAAGTCTTTCTCTTTAAAAAAATAAAAAATTTAGAAATATTTAATTATATAATTAAAATTGTTAAAACTTTAATTTTTTTTTAATTTAATTTTGTGTAAACGTGTTAAAATTAAGTTAAAATTTTAATTCGTTGGCGCTTAAAAGTATATAATAATGCAGAGAGACTAGTGGAATGCTTTGAGGAAAAAAAATCTAGGGCATAAAAATATCTCTATCGAATCAGGAGTTTATATGTAAAATAGTTCAACCCAAAAAAAGGTTTTAAAAGACTTTTAAAATTCATTTAAAATTCTCTCAACATCTCTGAAGCTCTTGGCACAGCTGTTTCAAAGTGGCTTCTTTTTTTTTTTCCGAATAATCACTTAAGTGGTGTTACTAAAACTTTTTTAACTTCTGAAATAATAGAGATAATTTTGTTCTGTAAAAAGAATATAAACACAAATACAATCTTTTACCTTATGACATTAAATGAATTAATAAAACCTTTTTATAATTTCAGATTAAACGTGACAAATGAAGAACTTGGCTATATTTTGAGAATTATTTGTCACTTTTTATCAAAAAAAAAAATTGAAAAAATATATTTTAGATATTTATTATTAAATAATATAAATTTTACAAATACTATTAATCAAAAGAAACCTACCTAATTTTTAACTGAAACATTATTTAATGTCAGCAAATCGCATTATTTTACTCGTAAAGTATTTGAGGTCACATGGTTGTTTTAAAAATTTACGCATAAAACTAGATAATTTTTTCTAAGTCAGCCAAATTTAAAAACATATTTGATAACATAGCTAGAGGTACAAAAAATAATTTATTGATTTTCATATTCATATAAGTTTGAAGTATTATTAATTCCATAGACTTTTCAAAAATATTGTTTTTTATTTAAATCAAATAAAAACAATAATATAAATGTCATTTAAAATTTAAAAACTAATATTTTGTAAAAAAAATTAGCAAAGTTATTTTATTAGGTTTTTTTAGATAGAACAGACATTCATTAACAAGTGTTCCAAATTTCAACCATCAACCATGTAACTATGTTATCAAATCTTAGCTGGTTTAAGACAGGTTTACCGTAAAAATCGCAAAAAACAGAAAAGTGATCCCAAATTATTAGCAATATTTTTACAACTTTTATTTTTATTCCGTTAAATGTAAATATTCATTTAAAAAGGAAAGATAGATCTTTTATATTTGTTTAATTTGAAGATGAAAACGTTTATAGAAAAAAAAAATTATTTTAAAGTTAGTGAATTTTTATACTTTTTATGCAGAAATACTTTTTTTTATATAAACTCATGACGCCAGGCTTGCTTATATATTGATTAAAACAGCCATATTGGACAACAGAAAACAGGAACAAATAGTGATTTTGTAACTTTACATCTTTTGGTTATCTCTGGGATTTTTTTGGTGAAGTTTTGCATATCTAGATTTTTACATATTATCTGTAAAAAATTTTAAATATGTTTTATTTTTATGGTTATAATAAAATTTCTGTTTTATTAATTTATATATAAAAATTTGTTTATTCTGATATATAAAAACTACCACTATAAAAATATTACCACCAAAAAGCTCCTCCTAAGCCTTACAAATAAATTGTGGGTTTTATAACTAAGAGGTTTCATTTTCTCAAGAAAGAGTCCCACCTACCCTAATTAAGGATCATTTTTACTTAATGACATGACATGACAAAGTAGATAAATATCAAAGTAGATAAATATTGAAGTAGATAAATAAAGCAGAAAATGTTAATACCTAAAAGAGAGCAAAATTGCCTCATGTTTATATAAATTTATGAATACTTATAATAGTTATATGATTTCTATATATACATTGGTAAACTTAAAATAAATTTTTTGATTGTAATAGTATGATATAATCAAAAGAATATTTAGTATACATAAAATTATAAACACCTTCAAGTGTTGAGATGTCCATACATCCCAAAAATCTTAAAGCATCACGATAATACTCATTGAACTGTCCAGATATCTAATATACAGATATTAGTAAAAAATTAAAAATCTACTAATAAAAAAAATCATGATTACTTAACTAATTAAATAAACTAAGCATAACTAAATTGCAAATATTTTCTATTAAATATTTCTTTATTCAAGGTTGCTTAAGAAGTTATTTTATTAGGTTTTTTTCTACACTATATAGAGGTTATACTAAGTCTGTCTTTCTTATTCATTTCTTATTGACTTGTTCAACTTTTTCTAACAAACTATTAATACTATTTTAACCATTATTAATAATTAATATTATTTATTTATTATTACATTTAAAAACTAAACTTTTTAACTTACTTTTGAATATGTACTCGACAAATCATAAAATCGTCCATGAACTGTAGTAATCCCATCTAAAGTATCTAGTAGATTTTGAGCTTCTTTTATAACAGACTAAAAAACATAAAATCATAAACTAAATCAATATTTACTAAAATCTCACAATAAATTAAATTTTATGCATATATACATACACAAAATTCATGCTGTTTAATGATTTGGTATCTATTGTTTTTTAAGCCAGAGTCCTAGAGACCTTACCGCCAATTATACATAGCTGCTACAGGTGAAAAAATTGATTAAAAAGCTGAAAACTTAAGAAAATAGTTAAAATTAATACTTCCTTAAAAAAAAAAAAAGGTTTATTACATTTATTCTACATAAATCTTTCTATTATTTAAAAAACATTTTTATTTATTTTCTTATTTTAAATTAATTAACAACTAAACAATGAATGTCTTACTTTAGTTTCTTCCAATTTATTTGCTTTAAGATGAAGAAGACCAATGGAAGTTAAACAAAGAATATTTGCTTCTTTGGTATTTTTTACCTAAATAAATTTACAAGTAAGCCATATATAAATAACTAACCTTAATTTAAATAACTAACCTTAATTTATTATAATTTATTTGCTTTAAAATAAAAAGACCAATCAATAATTTTTGCTTCTTTGATGTTGCTGGCCCTACACCCTATAAGTCTTTTATGTTTTAATTTTTATAAACCTTTCATAAGAAAAATATAAGTCAATTTTATTTAAGTTTACTTTAAGAATACTTAAATATAGATTTGCAAATCAAATTTTAATCATTTACCAGTTCAAGCATGAAAGTTTAATTTAAATGGATATTTGACCAATTAAAATGGAGATTCAATCAATTAAAATATTCAAAAACTTTTAACTCTAATAGTTCACAAAATAAAAACAAGATTTAAAAACTAATTATCTAAATATCTTAAATAACTCTAAACACAATGAAGATAAAGAACTTGATTCTTAATCTTCATTGTTTTTCATTGAAGAACTTGATTGTTTCTTGCTTGATTGATAAGCTAAAATGTTTCTAATGAGCTACTTTGTAATCTTTCTACATTGAAATTTTTTTGATTAAGTTGTTTTTTATTATTATTCTTTTTTCGCTTAATATTTAAATAAACTTATTGATACTTCATAAAATTGATGTTTACAAAAATTAATATTTTTAAATATAAAATTACTATTACTTTTTAACTGTAGTGTGCACAGCATTATAAAATCACATACTGAACAAAATGTATAATTTTTTTAAATTTCGTTAATTATAATGTTGCTGTTTCAAATTTGTTGGTAATAAAAAATTCTGACGCGTGGTTCAGTTTGTAAAAGGCCCAAAAGGGAACTTATAAAAAAATCTTTTTCCAAAAAAAAACATCACTTATTAAATTTTTTTTGTTTTTATTTTATTTTCTATTTGTTCTTTAGGACTTGCATTAAAAGGAGGGGAGGGGGAAACATGCATTTTTCGAATAGTTATAAGAAAAAGTAATTTTGGGGCAGTGGCTCACTTGTGTCTATCCGGGACCGCTAGACAAGCCTTCCCAGGCAAGGTGTGCGGTTTTTTATCTTGTATGACCACACGCGAGTATCTTATTTTAGACAACATGAACACGGCCGTTCACAAGTTTTATAATAATCAATGCTGAAAAAGTTTCAAAAAAAAAAAAAACTAACAAAATAAAAAGAGATTAAATAGAAAAAAAAAACACATTAACAGTTTTAATTTGTATACTGTTTTTATTTTTGTTTCTTTAGAGTGATTGTTACATTTAGCAACAAAATTAGATAAGGCGAAGCAAAAAAAAAAAAAAGTTTGAAGTCTACAAATAAAAAGAATGATTTTCCTTTTCTTAACTTTTTTTTAAGAGGATAGCAAAAACATAAATTGCAATGTGTTTCTAAAATATATTTGTATAATTTTAATGTAACAACAATAACAATGTAATAACGAGGGTTGAATTAAGCGAATGCGAAACGCAAAATCTGGAAAAATATCTAGTATTCAAAATTTTAGTTTATATAAAACCGTGTTCCTTGTTTTTAAGGGGCGAATCAACTTAAATTTGTAAGCGAAAAAATAAAACATAGAACAATAAACTTACAATTACAAAAGTAATAACACTCTTGTCACTAACTGCATTACGAAAGTAATAACACTATAATAGTGTTATTAATTTTATAATGCACATATAACTTTTAAAATTCCTGCTTTATTCAAGCAACATAAGTAATCCCAAATTTTAATTGAAGTAAAAAATATCTAGAAGAATAAAGTGGATGTTCAAATAATATTTAAGACTTAAATAACTTATAAAAACGTGACAAACAACTTTGTAAAAACATACATTGTAAACCTAAAAGGTTCTTCGCGTTTCTTTGCTGGTTCTTTGAAGAACCTAAAGGTTCTTGGAGAAAATTCAAGGTTCTTTAAAGAACCTACGGGTTCCTAATATTCTCTAATGGTTCTCTGAAGAACCGGCGGCTTATTTACAAAGCAATACAAAGAACCCACAAGATTCTTCAAATCGTTTTACGGAAAACTTCGAAGAACCTTAATTTAGGGTTCTTTAAATCTTTTGCAAACGCCATTTTATTTTTCTAATCGGTCGTTATATAGGTAGACTAGTATAAATTTATAAAGAATGGTATAATAACAATAACAAATGATTATCATGACAGTATTAAAATTGTGCCTTAAACATTTGAGTTATTTTTGTTACCGTTGTTAACATCAACAGCGATTATAAAAGAAACGTGTTTTTTATTTTTATTTTCGAGCAGTTTTCTTATTCCTATATGCTTTTATTATGCATATTATAAATAGATATATCATTGTATATTACGAATAGCTTTGTTTAGATAAATAAATATATCGCTTGTTTAAATTTGAAAAAATGGCAGATTATTTGAACTGGAGTGTAGAAGATGTTTGCGTATACTTAGAACTTAAAGGAGTCCGAGAACTTAGACAAAAAGTAATTAGTTAGACTGAAGTTTCTATTTTCAAGTATAATGATAATAAAGTATCATATATTATATATATATGTATATATATTTTTTTGTGTACGTACTTTAAAGTTATATATAATATATACATGTGTATATATGTTATCCATTTATCATTAATTGCTTGATATATATATATATATATATATATATATATATATATATATATATATATATATATATATATATATATATATATATATATATATATATACTACAAGATGGCTACACCTATATTACTCTAAGAAACTCGTGTTTTAAATAACTTTTTCTTGCATGTTATGTTTTTTTTGTGAATATTTTGTTATTTAATTAAAGCACAATAAAAGGGAAACTGGAATAATAATTTAAAGAGAGCCAGTTCCAATTAATAATTTTTTTAATGATTATTATTATTTGTTTAAGGTGGTATCTAGCCATTATTTTGGTAAAAAATGAAAAATTTGAAAAAATGCTATTTAGACAATTAAACCTTGTATAATTCAATAGTAAAAATATTTTTTTTACAAAATAATTTTAGAATATCAATAACATTCTTTTCAAACATGATTTATGTGAGCAGTGTACATGATGTATAATTTTAAAACTGATTTTTCTTAGTTTTTGTTTTTTTATTAGTAGCTGTTGGAAAATTTTAAATTAAATTTAACCTACAATTACCATATCAAATAAGTGTTTTATCGCTAAAAACAGTTTTTTATACTATTAAGGCTGTCATTTTTGATTGTTTAAAATTTTTTAAAAATTTTAAACAATCAAAAGATTTTTGGTTCAGGCACACTAATATACTAGCATTTTGAAAAATTTCAACTTTTATTATTGATGTAATATTAAGTTATTTATGTTCTTGAGACGTTCACTTTTTCACCTTTTTTTGCTGAGTCAGCAAAACGTAATGCAAATATTTTTAGTCAAAAATATTTGCAATACGTTTTAGATTTTTATCTATTATACTAGTAATTCATAAAAGGTATTTATTATGTGTAAAATATAAAAAAATAGAAACAATGGCTCGGTACCATCTTAATAAAACAATTATTTAAAATAGTATAAATAGCAAATTAAATTTTTTTTTATAAATAGTAAGTAATATATAAACAATTATTGAAGGAATGCATTTTCTTTGTTTAAATTTGCTACATTACCATGCTATTGTGAGTCTCTAATTAATATTTCCAAAATAATTTGTATTCTGTTATATATATACTTCATATATGAAGTCTACAAGTCTACAAAAAGTGAAACTCTAATTATATTTTTTATTATGTTATTTTTCAAATAACATAATAAAAATCTTTCAAATGGTTCTTTGATGAACCTCTACAGGTGCTCCACCAGCGTCAACGCGAAGAACCTTTAAAGGTTTTTTAAAGAACCTTTAAAGGTTCTTTAAAGAACCTTACTTTAAGGTTCTTCCGAAGAACCCTCTTAAAGGGTTCTTTGAAGAACCTCTAGGGGTGCTCCACGAGCGTCAACGCAAAGAACCCGTAAGGGTTCTTTGAAGAACTATTTGGCTTAAGAGTGTAACGTATTAAAAGTTTAGCATTATAAAAAACATTACTAATGGACCTTAAAATGCACGTTTTTTACTAATGGACCTTAAAATGCGTATTTTAAAATTAACCAATAAAAAAATTTTATTGGTTGATTGAATGAATGAACTTTAAAAGTAATAGTGCTTTATAAATGTAATAACACTATTATAGTTTTATTACTTTTATATTGCAGTAAGTGACTAAAGTGTTATTACTTTTGTAGTCGTAAGTTTATTGTTTTTGTTTTGTTTTTTGTAACTTTCTTGCTAGCAAACTTTTAATAATTTGCTCCTTGTAAACAAAGTACATAGCTTTGTATGAACTAAAATTTTAAAGACCAAATATTTTACCAGAGTTTGCAAATCGCGATCGTAAAATTTAACTCTTAATATATATACTTGTTACATTATAATTATACAAATATATTTTACAAACAGAAGATGATACATATTTTCTTTTTCCTCTTTAAAAGAAAAAACACATAAAATATAGGAGAGTCATCCTTTTTAATGCTTAAGACCGTTTTTTTTTTTTTTTTGCTTTAATTTTCTGAATTTTGTTGCCGATAATAATAACCACTAAGAAAAAACAAAAATAAAAACAACACACAAATTATTTAAACTATTATTATAGTTTTCTATTTAAGTTTACTTTAATTTCTTATGTAGTTTTTAAATTTAAAACTTTTTTCAGCGACGCATATAAAACTTGCGCAAACGGCCATGATTAAGTTGTCTAAATTAAAGAACATTTTCGTGGTCGTACGAGACGAAAAACCACACAAGAAAGCTTGCTAGACATTTATAAAAAAATTTCAAAATAAGTTTAAAATGACTGTAATGGTACTAGCCTATAACCTTTTTTTATTACTAATTCAGTTTTATATATATATAAAACTGAATTAGTAATAAAAAAAAATTACGATTAAATTTTTTTAAGTTTTATTATTATTATTTTTTTTCTATACAAGTTACTTTAGCAAAAATTTATTTTTAATTCTTATTCATTTTAGGAAGAAATAGGAGAAAAAGTAATTATTTGATATATTTTTCCTTATGGCTATCAGGGACCGCTAGAAATTTCCAAAAATATCTAAAACTGTTTAAAATGAGGGCAATTGTGCCATCACAAAATATTATAGTTTTTCATTTAAGACCAAAAACTGTAAAACATCATTTTATAGTTTTTTGGCCATTTTAGTCTATAGAAAAGCTTATATTTATAATCTTATTATTTTCAGCAATTACAACGTTTTACAAAACAAAGATACAAAAACAACATTTTACAAAACAAAAATTCTATTACAACATTTTTAAAAACAAAGATACTCCTGAAGGAAGTTCTCATTGGCCAACATTTGTTGACTGCAAACTACAGATCCAATTTTGCTAACTCCAGTGTCCAATTTCCTGACATATAAAATTCATAGGGGGGCTAGATACCCCTACGCCCCCCCTCAGGATGGCCCTGATTATTTTATCCATATTTTTAAATTATTAATTTTATTACTTTAAGTATATTAAAATATATATTAAAGTTGTTTTTATTAAAAAAATGCAATGCTAATAGAAACCAGTAAGTTTTTTGCTTCAAAAAATAAAAATAAAAAAAATATTTTTCTTCTGTTCAAGGAAATTTTTTTCAAAAAAAATATTTTAAGCATATACTTAAACTCATGTCAGATAGATCTACAAAAATCTCGACCTACTAAGTTGTTCTACAAAAAGAACATCTATCAAAAAGTGAAACTAATTTTTAGATAACCTACTAAGGCCTAAATTGTTTTCAAGCAATTTTCAAGTCTTTTTTTATTTCCAACTGATTTATGA